CAAATCGTTTCCCCTCTTCTCCCTAGACCCACAGCTCTCCCAGCTATTGTTCTCTCTTGCTGTTAAGAATGATCACACACCTAGGCTGGGGAGATAGCTCGGTGGTCTAAGTGCCTGCCTGGAAAGTGCAAGGACCCAGGTTCGATCCCTGGTACTGCATGCTGTGCCAGCCCTGAAACCCTGGGCACACTGTGCAGGCCCCCAAAATGGGGCCTGGTGGGGCACACCTGTAATCCCAGCACTGGGAAGGCTGAGATAGGAGGATCACTACAAGTCCAAGCTGCGTAGCAAGACCCTGTACCAAATGAATAAAAGATTTTTTAAAAATTTAAAAGAATGATCACACACCTAGGTTCTGCCCACGAAATGTGGTCAGAGGCCACTGTCAGAGAAGTCAGTGCTTTGTCATCACATACCTTTCCCTTTTGCTAGCTACACACTCTAAGTGACAACCCAGTCCCAACCAAAAGAACTAGCCCTCAGGCGTGGTGGAGCCATGTGCCAGAGGGAGCCTGGGCCTGACTTCCCATGAGGAAGGTTGCCCCTCAGCTGGGACGCACCCCTGGACTACATACTAGAGGAGGTCTGTTGGAATCTGTGGTTTGGGGTCTATTACTCCAACACTGCAGCTTACTCTGTGAACAGATTTGGTGGCAGAGCTTCCAAACTGTACAGAAACTGAATCTCAGTCCTAATTCCATCTGGGCACTATTCAGTAAAGGAAATAAGCCTCCAGAGAAGGGAATGGATTGGTCCAGGCTCATCCAGGACGGCTGGGGGAGCTCCTGACAGCTGACCGGTTTTCTCTCCATGGGCCAATCTGCCCTCAAAACAGGCCTCCCATGCAGGTGTGCTGTGCTTGCCATGAGGTTTCTACCTGGGCAAGAGGGAGGGGAGTGGAGGAAGCGAGGGAGTACATTTTCCTGACCCATGCCAATGAGTCGACAACTTGCTATGGTGACATTATGTGAAGTGAGCCCTTGATCCACAGCGTATACGCGACAAATCTGCTTGCATTTGTCTCCAGCACCCACCTAATGTCACCCACCTTCTGGCATCAGAAGGCAACACCGTGTCCAGGTCTCTGCCATCTCACAGTTATGCTCTGTCTTGAGGGGTAAGAAATTTGAACGTAGAAGAGTGTTTTGCTGTTGTGGACTACTTTATACGTAGAAAGAAAATAACATGTAATGAGAGCATTACAAGGGGCAGGAAATAACCATCATTTATCATGTGATGAATGCCATTTGTCAATCACTGTGTAAGAAACTTTATACACACAATCATATTTAATATCTGTATTAGTCAGTTTTGCTGTTGTAACAAATAGCTCCTAAAGTCTGTGGCTTGCACAACAGATGTTTCTCCCTTATTCATACTATTTGTACTCCCTTGGGCTGTTGCACTCTGACTCGGTGCTGAAGCAAGTGTCTGGGAGCAGGCAGTTCCGGTGACAGAAGAGGCAACTCCTGATGCCTGTAAAGCTCCACCTCAAGCAGATGGTGATGGGCAAGAGAGATGCTGCGAGAAACAGCAGGGACAACGTGAGGCCCCGCGTGCAGACCGAAGTGTGGGTTCTGACGGACAGCGACAGCGGTCAGAGCAACAGCGAGGGTCAACGAGGAAGCTCAGAACCCGTGGTTTAAAAATTAGCCCCACTTTCATCACTCACTTGGAGTAATTATAGTAATTACACCCACTGGAGAAAATATTAATTACTTGTTTTTCATACTACTCTAGAATAATAAATTTTTTAAAAATAATAAAGGCATGCAAATTAAAGCTTCAGGACAAGTTCCAGCTCCTCGCGAGGAGAGAGCCGCCTCCATGCGCCCCCACACAGCCTCTGCGGCCAGAGCTCTAACCCGAGCTGGGGATATGAATCCCCCGCGCTAAGGCCAAGCCCAGGGCCCGGCTCACGGGGAGCAGCACGAACCCTCGTTTCAATCTAAGGCAGGTCATCTGGTCACCATCTCCAGGAGACGCTTCAAAATTCAGATCTCAATATAAAGTTGTTTCAACAGATGAGACAAAAATAGTCACGTATGCGAGAACGCTATGCAATACGCTAATGCCATCTGAGCTTCACCCATTTTCCTTCTGGGGTCACAGGCATGCAGCCAATTCAAAAGGGTTTTTTGTTGTTGTTGTTGTTGTTGTTGTTGTTTAACTGTACTGTGATAGTACAACCAAATTAGCCAGTTTTAACAGGTTTTGCCAAGGAAAGAGCTCACTTCGGTCAATACCAAAAAAGATTTACAGGGACGTCCTGCGGGGCCTCGACGCCGCGCTAGGCGCACGCACCCGGCGGCCAGCCCGCCGAGGCGCGCTC